TCCTCGAAACCTGTGAGGCCACTGTCGGGAAAAAAGCCAGCAAGCACCTTCGTCCCCTGGCGTAGTCCACTCGGTGGGAGACGTGGGAGTCCAACCAACCTCAAGCAAATACCTAATAAGAGCTCCCATTGGGCCTCGAACCTGTCTAGCGAACTGGGACGGGATGATGTTCTGGAGGCGCCGAACAGCCTGAGGCCAAGCCTGACGGACCATGGGGCGAAGATCAGGAAAACTAAACCACGTGTCGAGCCAGAGCTTCATAGTATCCCTGGGGAAATTCACGAACGGGTCAGCTCCTGTAACCTTCAAGTTCAAAAGTGTAGTAAGGCACCGTCCTTTCTGCTTGGAGCCTAGAGCTGCTCCAAGGCGGCGCCGAAAACCAACGCGGTGAGATCCAAAGGACCAGTGAACTTGATGCCCATACGAGCCAGCTGCTTGGGCCCCCGCTCGCCCCAGACGCCCAGTGGCCTGATATCTCCGAGACGCCCTCGCGAATTTGCGAATCTTACCAGTCATAACAGAAGCTTTGACAACACGCTTGCGCCGTGAGGAGCGAGCAGGACGGCCCGCACCGAGGTCCACGCCAAGGTACCGAGCTTGCAAAACATTGTGGACTGTGTAGCCCAACTTCTTGAGCTTGGCTGCAATCAGCTTCCCATCACTGGACTGCGAGCACACTAGCACACTCTTGGAGGCTGCCTTCAGCCCTGCCTTGCCGAGCTCGTCACAAGTGTCGCGGAGGCGCCCGAAGAGCTGAGCACGGACCACGTTCCTGGACCCCATCACCCGCTGGTAAAGGTCGTCAACCCAAATCCCCATGGAGGCCCCAACGTGCGCCGTGGTGATTTTAGCCATAATAAAGTAAACCATGCATCTCCCAAAACGAACACCACTCCGAATGCCCTGGGCGATGCTCCGCGAAGGCTGGAAGGCGGTCGAAAAAAAACACCCGTCTTGAGCGAGAGTACGCGGGGCGACGCAATTCTGAAGTTCTAATCCGAGAACGGTAGCAGGAAACTGTAACCGTAGAGAGGTATCAACAAGAGCTTCCCAAGACATCGAGTCGTAAAAGGCCTCGACATCGATTAAACCCGTGCCGAACTCAATCCCCAAACGCATACAAGCTTCATCTTGCAAGGCTCGAACGAAAGCCTCACGAAGTGCAGAGTTACCTCGGATCGCGGCATCCCACGCAGGCTCTGAGGAGGAGGTCCAGAGGCGAACATCTTCTTCACGAGCTGATGACCACGCTCTAGTGAGCATGGCCATCAGCCCGATCACCCTGTCACCTCCAGACTTCTTTCCCAGTAACCTTCCTATGACCAGAAGAACTTGCCATGGCCACGTAATCCGAGCCTCGCAGGCTTGCAACAGATGCACGAGCTGAAGAAGCCCTCCGTGTGAAAGCCGCTGCATGTCTGTAGGTGAAAGCTGATCCACCCCTTGACCAGCACGTGCTTTCATACATTTGAGCGCGGCTTCCACTCGATCGCAAGAGAGAACAGGCAGCTGATCGTCTTCGGCAGCTGCGCGAATGCGATCAAATAACTGGCCTAAAGAGTCAAGTGAGACGTCGCCTGGGCTCCAAAGCTGATGCCACTTCTTGGCCTTCTGATCTAAAACATCCCGAGGATGAAAAATCATTTCCCCCCCGACCTCGACCTCAGAGGAAGGGGGGGGAACGGCCTTCAGGTTTTTATGCAGGACCCCACAAGCCTCGGGAGAAGAAATCCATTCACGGAATTCGCTGAGTGAGCTTTGAAGGTCCCTCCGCCTGGCACGTCCAGCGACTCGCTTGGCAACTGAACAGAGCGTCTGCAAAATCGGGAGGCTGACCTCCTCCACGTGCATCAGCCTCGACTGCCAGAGAGACCGCGCTCCGTCGGCAGGATCCAGCGAGGCGAGCGGTAGATGAACTGACTCTGGAATATCGCAAGCTAAGGCACGACGCGCTGCAGCCAGACGGGAGCGCTGTACTTCCCCATTCCCTTTAGTCAAGTGATGACAAAGATTCTGAAGTACCGCATGCACTCTCCCCCACCAGCAAGCTACCTGCCCGTGTAGCGGCTCCGATCGAACCTTATCCAACATATGTAACACTCGCTCGCGAAAAAACTGGGCCTTGTGAGCGAGAAAGACTGGGCTGCTGCTCTCCATGATGTGTACATATGGTATGCTCGACGGTGAGCACCCACTGCGAATAGAGTGCGCTCACGCTCATAATATGTTCACGACCCACGTAGAAGGCTCCAGAATCCCGAATGACTGGCCAGACTTCTTGTGTAGACCCCACGGGAACGTAACCCACGTCCCGCTTGGCGGCTTCCCAGGACTCGTCGGGGATGTGGAACGTCGGGAGAGGAGGGAGGGAGGGAGAGGGATACTGACTACCTGGGGGGCTGCAGCCTGCGTCGCTAGCCGCAGGCGGGACTGGGGGGGCCTCGACTTCGAAGGGTGGCTCGTGGGCGTCTTGATCGAGCTCGTCATTGAAATCAAAATCTTGGGACTCGGACATCGTGGAAACCAGCGCCCCGCCAGAAGAGGAAGGCCCCACAAGAGAGACCAGGGACAGAGGGGCCCCAGGGAAACCGCCTTCGCCGTCCGAGTCCCCAAAAACCTGCCGAATCGGGTGGCTTGATTGAGGGTCGTCCTCGTTCAAATCACCGTACAACTCCTGATAGCATTCGTCTGTAGCAACGCGGGCTGCTAAGCGCTTCGTAGCGTCGGCAGCCTTCTTCATACTAGACTTGGAGCCTTCTTGCGGCTGGAGCTTCGGCCTCGGGGCCTGCGGCAATTTGGGCGCCACGCGGGGCTCTCGGCAAAGCAGCTGCTGGCAAGAGCTGCGGATAACCAGGACAAGCCCACAACGCGGGCGCCACGGAACATCTACACGGGCCTCGAGTCGGGCAATAAACGGTACGCTGGCTCTGCTAGCCAGTACGTAGTCTATGTGAGTGCCAGACCCTAGAGAGCACGTGTATTGCAGCGGGCACTTGTAGATGACTCCTTCTACCTTGTCAACGAAGCCGACTCGCTGTAGAGTCTCGGGTGGCAGATTCCGGTCCCCGATAACGACCCGGGGCAAGCGACGCTGCTGCAGCATCGCCCCTAGCCGAGCGAACCGAGGGAGATTTCGGCCCCTGTGCCCTTCGCCAGAGTAGGCGTAAAAAGAAACTAGAATGAACGAAAACCCTTTCTGATGGCAGACTACAGCAGAGAAGCCATCGAGGCTGGCGGAACCGTCGACTGTAAGGTCCTTCCAAGCCCCGTTGGTCTGAGCAAGTGAATGGACTGGTAGGTGCTTCCTGGCAAGGATGCACTCACCCCCTTCGTTGGCGCGAGACTGACCCGACTGGGTCGTGCTGTTTCCCGTGCCGCGGGCAGGGTTCAAGAAACATTTGAACTTGGCCTTCGAGGCCTCGGACTTCCACCGAGAAACGTCATCACTGGACCCGATGCGGGTCTCCACTAAAGCTAAAAGGTGATAATTGGCAGCCCTGCTACTGGTGAGAACCCCCCACGATTTCTTGCTGAGCTGAGTGACATTAGCAAAACAATCTGCGTCTCACCACTCGAAGGCTGCTCAATCCCCGTCGAGGCCGATCTCGATGCAGTCGATGCCCCAGCTGACTGCGTGCTCGAGGGGCCTCGTCTTGTAGGTCACTTGTCGCTCAGGCCTGCGCCCTCAGCGGCCTGGGCGGCGGCGAGCTTGGCTTCGCTCAGCCGCCGCGCCTCCTCGGCGAGCTCGGCGTCGGCCTGGTCGTCGCGAACTGGCGTGGTCTCCGCCGCAGTGCGCCCGTCGTCGCCCCCGCGGGCTCCGCCAGGCTCGCCGCCGCTGCCGCCGCCGTCGGGGCTGCCCGTGGCCACGCCGTCGGGGCCCTTCCTCTTCTTGGCCATGCGAACCATGATGTCTTCCTTCATCTTCGCCACGCGCGCGAGCATGCGCTCCACCTCGGAGGACTTGGTGCCCACCAGGTCGCGAACGCCCTTCAAGTCGGTCTCCAGCTGCTTGAGATCCGCCCGTTCGGTCTCGCTGACCTCGAGCTTGTCGAGCGTGCTGAAGAAGTCCTCGTCCCACGAGATGGAGATGAGCTTCTTGCTGTCGTTCCCGTCGATGCCGTGGCTGTCCTTGGCAGTCTTCGCGACCACTCCGTTCAGCTCGGCGAGGGCCCTCACGGCCTGAAGCTTGGACTTCTCCGCCTTGGCGAGGGTGAGGGCCGCCGTAGCTTCACGCTCAGTGGCCTTCTCAAGGACCTCGCGTGCCCGAAGAAGAGCTGAAACTGCTTGATCATGCTTGGTGGCTGCGTCTCGCACCGCGGCAGTGGCCCGCCTGAGGGACTCCTCAAGCGTGATGCACTTCTCGGGTGAGATCTCTTCGTCTTTCAGTTGGCCGATGTGTGCCTCAAGGATCGCCTTCAGCGCGGGATCGGTGGTGACACTCAGCGCCTGCTTATAAGCTGACAGCGGTGTACTCGAAATTCCCGATCTCGTGCTTGGAGGGGAGGGTGCTAGCGCCAACTGGTTGCTGTTCGCCGTACCGTCCATCTGGGCTCCTCTGGATGCCTTAGGCCGATGCAACGTGACTACAGTCTGGCACTTCGGACAACGGCATTGTTGCTTCCATAGAATGCGATTCCAGTCCTGCCGACCACAATGCTGACATGTGGACCATCCAGACTCGGGTGGCTCTGTGGTCTCGGGCGAGGGAGCCGCTCTAACACTCGACTTCTTTTTACCCATGGCTCAGGAAAGAAGGTGATCTGCCCTCCTTAGTCAACCTGGGGAAACGAAAGCGCCTTCCTGAGGAGGAGGAGGAGGAGGAGGAGGACCTCCTCCTCCTCCTCGTCCTCCTCGCTTCTCTCTCGTCCTACATCTGGCAGTGGTGGTTGAACATTTGGCCATGAGAAGCGACCGCGGCGGCGAAGGCGGCGGCGCGGCGGCCCTCTGCTGCTGCAGGGCACCGGCTCCGGCCGCGCTCGCCGCCGCGGCGGCGGCGGCACCGCCGGGCCCGGTCTTGGCCCTCACCTCGGAGGGGCGGGGGGGCCTCCTCCTCCTTCTCCTTCTCCTCCTCCTCCTTCTCCACCTCCTCCTCCTCCTTCTCTTCCTCCTCCTTCTCCTCCTCCTCCTCCTCCTCCTCCTCCTCCTCCTCCTCCTCCTAGGGGGCTCTAATGTGATGCTGAAGGTGGGTTGCGTTTAGCCTCACCTGAACCATCAACGGGTCCCAAGTGCCCCAAGAGGCCGATGGGGTGTCCGCTAGCTCCGCTTAGTGGGCGGGGCCCACTTAAACCTGGATCGCTAACTCCCCTCAGCCGCTTGGGGCATCTGCCACCCGTTAATGAGCTAGACAGGCCAGACAAAACTTTTCCTCAGCATACCCTTGCATCGCCCTATCCCCTTAGCAAGCTCCGCGGCGATCCAAGCTCCTGCGCCTCGTCATTCCTGTCCGTGCGGCCTTTCCTTTGATGCCTTCGATGCGGCAAGAGGGGGAAGGCAAGTGGCCAAACCCCATCGACTCAGAAGTGAAACATCGAGCTGTTCAGTAGGGGCTCGACCACAAGAAACCTTCCACAAGAAACCCAACCTTGGAACCCCAGGATGTCCATTCATGTTTGGTGTGGGAACGTCACGCTTTCCATGGAAACACCGTCGAAGCCCAAGAGACCCAGGGCACCCTGGCGGCAAGCAGGGTGTTTCTTGGCATGGGCCTCCACTGTAGGAACCCTGAGTTCCACCAGGCCAAACCTCCCTCTCCCCCAGGGCGTGGCTGCACCTCGGTCAGACATACAAGGATATGGAAGGAGGAGGAGGAGGAGGAGGAGGAGGAGGAGGAGGAGGAGGTGGATGACGAATATGTGGAGCCGGGGCGCTCAAAATGGAGGAGCCATGGGCCCGAGAGCTTCACTTTGGCTCTCCCTGGCAACTGTCACCGCTCGAATGTCCTGCGGCCTTGATTCTTAGGATGAGGCTGGCATGCAGGAGCCTTTTAACCTTATGGCGAGTACGTCGCCCTACAGGCGGAGTTTGGACGGACAATAAAAATAGTCAAGAAATACTCCAAAGTGATAGAAAAAAGTCTGAAAATCGTCCCCCGCTTATTTTTGACTATGTTTGATTATTACTCCTGCAAAGGGACAGGCCCGTTTTAGTTTTAACCTGCAAGCCGTCTGCAACGAAATTGCACTACAGCTCATACAGAAGATGACAAGCAACCCCGAAGGCACAACGACCGCCCATGAACTGTGCTCACACCCTGGCCGAGTCACGGCATTCACAACCTTCTCAGCGACGGTGATGGGCCTGTTTTCCACCACTGCCACCATAAGTTGGATGGGAAAGGAGTCCTCCTCCTCCTCCTCCTCCTTCTCGTCCTCGTCCTCCTCCTTCCCCCCTCCAACTTATGGGGGTGGTGGTGGAGAACAGGCCTATCAGACGGGGCCAAATGGAAACAACTAGACTTGGACAACAATCAGCTGTCCGTCCTGTGACATCCAAGACACCGTCACAAGCCACCATCCCACACAAGCTTATGGGGCGACAAGCTGGAGGGGCAGCGTGAGGGGGTCCACGGCCACGGCCGCGATCACCGAACAACTCCTTGGCTGGTTGCCAACGCTCAAGCATAAGGAGCGTAGCCTCCGCAACATCCTTTCTAGCTTAGACATGACATTGAGCATGCAAAGTTGGGGGGTATAAGTAGCCAATATCAGCAAAATTCATGAAGAAGAGAAGAACATGTCAATATTGTTCAGCACGTAGCTGGTACACGAGGTACAGAATGAAGAAGGAAAGGCTGCCTCAGCCGCCCTGGGGGGGCGGCCCGCTCCTCACCAGGTTTCTGCCTCTGTCTACTTGTTGAAGTAGAGCAACGTGCATATCCTCCACCTCCTCTCTCCTCTCCTGAGATTGGCTGCTGCTGTCTGCCCCTCCTCCTCCTCGCCTGTCCTCTGGGTGATGGTTACCTCCCCCTCCTCCTGCTTGCCTTGCGTCAGGGTGGCTGCTGTGGGCGTCGCTGCCTCCCCCTCCTCCTCGTCCTCCTCCTCTGGCTCCAGCTGGTGCGGTGCCCGTAGGCTCCGGCCTCTCGAGCTCTCTGCCTGCGTCCACTTGCAGTACAAGATCTGCGTGGTGCTGGTGTTGCTGGCTGCTGCTGTTTCTGTGCGCGTTGGTGCTGCTGTAGCGGTCCTGAAGGACGGCCGCACGGATGCTGGCCATCATATTGAGCCTCCTGCTGAACAAGCGGAGGGCGGCGTCATCCTGGGAGAGTGGCCAGGCCATCCTCCGGGACAGGCAGCTGATGGGCATGTCGATGCCCGTGCGGAAGCGCTCGAAGTGGATGCAGCGCCAGAAGTCGTGGTGGACCGTGGCTGCCTCACCTCCCGCGCACCGCGTGCACATCGGCATCGGGTCATCCTGACCATGCTGATTTGCGAAGTTCCTGGCGTCCGAGTGCACTGCCCCAACGAGCACTGCCACCTCGTGCGGGTTCACCCCAGCTCTGAACGAGGTGTGCACCTGCTTCAGCGCCTTGTCGGGGAAACTCACATTCTCCTGCTGCGCCATGCGGGCTTCCCGCCGATCCTGCTTCTTGAACGCCTCCCACTGAGAATGGCGCAGAGCACGCCGCAAGAAGTGGAGTCTGGCCTTGCCCGGGGTGCGAGCGGTGATGTCGTTATCCTCGTCGAACTGGTGTTTGAAAACCATCTCGTCTTGGCCCTGGGGCCCGTCCGTGTCAATCAAGATCCAGCCCATCAGGCCCATGGTGTGGATCAGGGCGGAGTAGAGCCCAGGGAGGGTCAAACCCTGCTGGTGCCACCTCCGCAGATCGCGGTCGACTGCTGCATGGCCCTTCCGGCGCCGCCTGGTGTCGAACACCTCCCAGAGCCGCCGGAGCTGCGCGTACACCACGTTCGCGTTGTGGCCCACCACCACCATCTCCAAAAGGTGTGGTGAACCAGTGCCCCAGCACCGTCTGCCTCGGTAACTGCACACTGCGTGCCGCGCTGCCGTCTGTATCCGGGCCTGGGTCCCCTTAGGGAGGCACCGAGTCAGCATCCTCCATGTCAGCGTCGACATTGCGGAACCACACAGCAGCTGCGTCTTTTCCCCAGGACCCAGGAGCAGCTTCTTGATGTTCGCCGCGCGATCCAAAAATGTACCCACGGACTTCTTTTCCCTCTCGCTCAGCTCTCTTCTCGGGATCAGGTCCACCCCAAGCAAGGTGACTGATGTAGCTGGCTTGTACTCCTGACGCGGCGCCCTCCGGCGGGCCCTCTCGTCTGCCAGAGGGTGGCGTGGGGGGGCTGGCGGCGAGTTCCTGCGGTGGGTGCCCGCGTCGTCGGCGTCCTCCTCCTCCTCCTCCTCCTCCTCCTCCTCCTCCTCGTCTGCCTCTGCTGCGTCTGTGTCGCCTCTGGCTCCTCCTCCTGCGCCTCCTTTGCCTCTTCCTTCTCGTCTGCCTCTGCAGCCGCCGCCGGGCCGCGGCTGTCTGGCCCCGTCACTGCGGTCTTGCTGCGTACGCGCCTGCGCGTCGCCTGTGCTGCCCGTGCTGCCTCAGCTGTCCCTTCCTTCTCCTCCTCTTCCTCGCTGCGTTTCCTCTTCTGCCTCCGCTTGTGCGCTGTGAGCCTGCCGTCCCAGCCGCCAACATAAGCCTGCCAACGGCCTGTTCTGCCATCAACATGCATGTCGCACTGCTTGGACTGGTTGGAGGCCATGCCGGTGACCGCCTCGAAGCGACGCCACAGCCCGTCGATGAACTCGATGGTGGCGAAATCCTCTGAAGCGGCTGCACGATCATCGGCATATACGCTCAGTGCAGCTTCTGCCTGGCCCCCCAAGGACCTGACCGCTCGCCACACGACCGGCGCCAGCAAAGTGGCCATCGCAGCCATGGAGGCAGGGTCTCCCTGCGGCAGAGAATTCGAGACTGTAAAAGGCGTGGGGTGGACAACACCCGCGAGCTCACAATGGCGTATCTGTCTCTTCCAAGTGCTTGTGATTGACGTCACCGCACACTCGTCTACACCCAGTGCACACCACAGCTCCGCCAGCAGCGCCGGGGACACGCTGTCGAAGGCAGCCTGGAAGTCCCAGAGCCTGACGTACACCTGCCCGTCCTTATCGGCGAGGGCCTGTTCGATGCGATCCAAAATGCCATCCAGAAGGGACTCCAGGGTCCGCCTTGGGATCCCGCCAGCCTGGCACGGGTGGAACACAGGAATAATGTAGTCCATGATCTGCCGCGTGCGAAAGCGCATCCAGAAGCGCCACGCGACTGAAGCGATCGCAATCGGTCTGAAACGGTCTAGCTGCGGATCTTTCTCGGTGTCCTTTGGGATGTGGACCTGCCGCCAGCGCACCATGGCCTGCGGGAACTGCGTCTCTTCAGCGTAGAGGCACATGTCGGCGAGCTCCAGGAGAGCGGCGTCCGGGAGCGCCAGGATCTCCTCCGCGCTCCACAGGTCCACCCCCGCCGACTTGCCACGCATGGGCTTGAGGGCCCGGCGCAACTCATAGATGCTGGGAGCACTGAAGCGACACTCCTCAATCGCCGAACGGGCATCCAGCGGAAGACGGCCGTGCCCTTGCGCAAGGCGTACCTTCATGAAGTCTATCTCTGCCGCGTACTCCCTGAGGAAGGCCTGCGGGTCTGCGCCGCCGGTCATGCTGCTGAAGTGGTCCTTCCAGAAGCCGGACAGCACCTCCACCGCCTCGGCGCCGTGCACCCACCGAGGGCGGGATTGCCTGTCTTCGTCGTCGCCTCTGCCTCTGCCTCCTCCTCCTCCTCCTCTGCCTCTGCTGTCTCCTCCTCCTCCTCCTCCTCCTCCCCCTCTGCTGCCTCCTCCAGAAACTGCCTCAGCTGCCTCCTCCTTGTCTGATGCGCCCTCCTCCTCAGCTGCCTCTGCCTCCTCTGGCGCCCGGGCGGGCACGACGAAGGAACACGACGGGGCCGAGTGCGCGGCGCCCCTGACCCATCGGTACACGTAGCCCTTCATGTCGTTCAGCTTCCGGCGCCATGCGGCCAGCCGCTCCTGCTTCTCCCGCAGGTGCATGTCGTGCAGGCGCTTGGACGCGATCTTCTGGCGCGCACGAAGCCCGGCGCCAGCAGGAAGCCCGAGCCGCCGGCGCAAGATGGCCTCCTCCTTCTGGAAACTCTGCCGCGCCGCCCACGTCTGGCGCCCGGCTTCCTCATCCAAGGCCACGTACCGGCGAAGCATGTCCTCCTCGGGCGAGAGCTGCAGGTGGTCCGGCAGGATGTCCGACGGCTTCGAACGCTCCCTGATCTTGGATTGGTGCTTCCATCCTTTGGAGGACGGCGTGTCCGAAGCGCTCCGAAGGGCACCCTCTGCCCGGCGCGTCCACGACGCCCACCATTCTTCTGTCGTTGTAAAGGCTGCGTCTGTGTCAGTGCGCCACGAGTCGGCGACCCGCGCTGTCCACTCCTCCCGGGCCTGGTCCTCGTCAGGGGCCCGGTACGGCCTCGGCTTGTCCCATTGCTTCCCTCGCTCGTGAGCGTGCGCACCAGCAGGAATGCTCATGTACACTAAGTAGTGGTCTGCGATCGGCACGTCAGAGGTTCGTGCACACAAAGAGATACCCTCCTGAGCCCGCGCCAAGAAATAATCTATGACACGCCTCCCCTGGCGCCGAGTCGGCCGAGCACTGGCCACCGCCCGAAAGCTGCCGCCGCACATCCCCTCCATGTCCAGCTTGTGGGGGACCTCGTTGAAGTCGCCGGCCACGAAAGCGGTGTGCTCGGAGGGCCAGGCTGCCAAAGTCTGTTCAATCCATTCTTCCAGCGCCAGCTTCTCTGCGTCAGAGGATGCCGAACGTCGGTGTATGTTGCCCACGATGAAGGTCGAGGAACCTGCCGTTACGACGCCAATGGCCGCCTCTCCGCCGGCCATGCGTGTAGAGTCGATCAGCCGGAACTGACAGTCGTTGTGCACCAGGAAGCAGAGGCCCCCGACGCATTCTCTCGCGGCCGGGTGTAGCCGCGTACCGGCCTCCTCTGCCAAAGTGCCTTTGTGCAGGGTAAATCTGGACTGGCGCAGCGTAGACTGCTGAGTGATCAACTGCATCTGTGTCAGACGACACTCCTGAAGCATGACAACATCGCACTGGTGCTGCACGACAGCGTTGAGCAGGGCGCGGCTGTGTTCATGCCATGAACTGACATTCGCGGTGGCGAGAGTGAGCTCGCCTGCCTCGTGCGGCGCGGCGGCCGCCTCCGCCTCAGCACCGGGCAGCGACCCACCGTCTGATCTGCTGCGCAACCGCCTTCTTAGTGAAAGCGCCTCCGCTCAGGCCGTTGACGGTCTCGACGGTCCGCTTCACCAGGACTTGGACCTGCTGCTCCTCCGTCGCAGCCCGCGTCTGTGCGACCAGGTCCGCCGCCTTGGACAGCGCCTCCCATTGCTGCGGAGACATGGGCGTGCGACCCTGGTCCCAAAGCTCCTTGAGGGCGGTCCTGTCTGCCTCAGTGGTGTGGTGCCACTTCCAGAGGTGGGTCTCGGTGCGCCAGAAGAGGCCCCCGTCGGCCAGACCCTTGCACCGGAACTCCGCGACCTTCTCCCCGTTCACGCACATCGGCCACACGCCGAAGCAATGGATGCACGTACGTTGCCGCGACGGCGCTCCGTTCAGGTGCGTCCGGCCCGCGGGGGACTTGTTCTGCTCCTTGCCCCAGATCGCCGATCCGAGCTCCACGACCTTGAAGTGGTGGCCGTTGATCTGTCTGTCATGCCATGTGGACACAGTCCGCTCTTTCCACATGGCCTCCATCCTGCTAAGGGTCTGGGCCTTAGAAGTGGCAGGATGATTGAAACCAATGCTCTTGTTCGAAAAACTCTCGTATTCCAGCTCGTCCTTGTGTGCCTTCGACCAATGGTGCTGCAGGAGCCGCGTGCGCACCGGCTGGGTCACCAGCGGGGCGGCGGTAGCGACATCACACCCAGGCATCGGACACGACCACGTGCGAACCTCCATGGGGATGCCTGTGGCCAGGTGGGCGTCCGTGTCAGAGAAGACTGTGGGATCGAGAACGTTCTGTCTGGCAATGTACAGCGTCGGGATCTCCTTCACCCTTGGATCCCTGCGGTGCTTCATGTACAGGTGGCTCGCCTTGATGGACTGGATCTTCCTGGGGTCGGTCCGCACGTACTGCTTGTCACAGAGCTTGCAGACCCAGCTGAATCTCTCCGCCACTTTCTGCCCAGGTCTGGCAGAAAAAACGGCCCGCTTGCCCTTCAAACGCCGGCGCGGCGGGATCGCCGTACCAGCCGTTCCAACGGAGTGGACCCTGATGAACGCCGTCCTGACCATGAAGTCGGCCTGCTTGCCGCGTAGCCGCCGGTGCGTCACGGGAGCCGTGCCCGCCGTGGACGCGGGGCCAGCAGATCGCGACCCGATCGGCGGGAGCAGGGAGCACACTGAAGCCGCTCTGCCGTCCGGCACCTGTCCAGTCGGCCGCGGCGGCGGCAGGAGTGAACACATGCTGTTCCTCTCCTCCTCCTCCTCCTCCTCTGGCTGCACCTCTCCTGCTGGAGGGCACTGGGTTGAGGGCTGCACTTCCGCGGAGCTCGTCGCCAGCGCTGGCACGTGAGCCAGGCGACTGCCCCTCCTCCTCCTCCTCCTCTTCCTGGCAGACGCAGAGCCTGTGCCAGCAGCGCTGCACCTCCTCACATCTGCCTCCTCAGTCTCCTCAGCCTCCTCCTCCTCGGCTGATGCCTGCATTTCCTCGGCCTCCTCCTGTGGCGCCGCGCCGGGGGGAAGCTGCCAGTGCAGGTCGCCGGAGTGGCCTGCATTGCTCCTTACCTCTGCCTCCTCCTCCTCCTCCTCTACCTTCTCACCCTCAATTGAGTTCTCCTCCTCTGGCTGCACCTCCCCTGCCGGAGGGCACTGGATTGAGGGCCGCACCTCCGCGGAGCTCGACGCCAGCGCTGGCGCGTGAGCCGGGCGACTGCCCCTCCTCCTCCTCCTCCTCTTCCTGGCGGACGCAGAAACTGTGCCAGCAGCGCTGCACCTCCTCACATCTGCCTCCTCAGTCTCCTCAGCCTCCTCCTCCTCGGCTGATGCCTGCATCTCCTCGGCCTGCTCCTGCGGCGCCTCGCCGGAGGGGGGCTGCCAGCGCAGGTCGCCGGAGTGGCCCGCGTTGCTCCTTACCTCTGCCTCTTCCTCCTCCTCCTCCTCTACCTTCTCATCCCCTGCTGCGGCCCGTCTGGACCTCCCCGCCTCCTCCTCCACAGCGGATGCCGCCGTGGACCCAGATGACGGTGCAGAGTTGCCGAACATGTCCGAGTCGAGAGTGGATCCTGGGGGGTCCACGCCTCTCCTCCTCTGAGCCTCCTCCTCAGCTGCTGCCTCATTGCTCCTCCTCGCCTCTTCCTCTCCTGATGCCGCGGCTGACCCAGACGTCGTCGCAGGCGCGGCGTCCAGGCCCATGTCCACGAGGAAGTCGTCGAACCTCCCCGCTCCACGGGGCATCTTCCAGGCCGCCTTGACAATCTGAGCGACGGATTGCCTCTTCTTGGCCAGTTCTGGCCCTCCCTGGGCCACTCGAGGGATGGCCGTCATGAAGTGCCCCTGCTTGTACGCGATGTGGATCGTCGGCTGCTGGTCCGCCTTGCGCGCCGCCTCCGGGTCCTTCGGGTACACGTGTGAGATCTTCGTCCACCTGCTGCGGCCTGCGGGCGCCTTGGCATCCCACGCGAGCACAATCAGATTCCGTTCCAAGTAATCCACGCCGCCCTGGAGGCCGATGGCGTCGATCCAGCGCTTCTCCCGGTCCTTGATAGCCGCCAAATACGCCGGCCAGGACCTCGGAATAGGGCCGTCCTCGATGACCCTGTCCTTCAGGGCCTCCGGGAAAAAGAAGGGCTCGTAGTCCTTCGAGTTGTCCTTGATCTGCTGGGCAATGTAGCTCCGCATCGTCTTGCCGATGGCGGCGAGGCGCTCCTTGGTCAGGACGTCCGCGCGCTGTGTGCCAGGGCGGCCGCCACGTAGGACCCACGCCAGGCCCATGGCCCGGTATCCGCAGTCGCCACCGTTCGAACCTGGGTCGAGGATCTCGAAGGTGCCGTCGCTCAAGTCGCTACGGGCGGTCCGGAACTCGACCTTCACCTCCACCCTCGGTTTGTCCTCGCGCCTGGGGGACCGGGAACCCCTCCGTGCTGCTGCCCGGTCCTCCTCCTCTCTCCTCTGCCTCCGCTCCTCCTGCCTCTGCTGCCTCTCAGCTGGGTCTAACTTCGCGTCGTCCTTGTCCTCTGCCGCTCTCCTCGCGTTCTTCGCCTCCTCTGCTGCTGCCTTCTTCGCTGCCCTCTCCTCCTCCTCCTGGGCCTTTGCTGCTGCCTCTGCAGCCTGCCTCTGAGTCTCTGCGTCCTCCTCGTCCTCCGTGGGCTTGGGCTTGTGCTGCCACGCCCAGGCTGTGTTCGCTGCAGGTCTGGTCGTCGTCGAGGCCGTCTTCGGGTCACCCCGCACGAAACGTCGTACCTCGATCACGCTGCCCCCTTCGCCGACGGCGATGGTCCAGGCGTCGGCGGCTCTGTACTGCTCGCTTGGGAGCCCCTTGACAAGCCATCCCAAGCGGCCCCGTGGTGCGGCCACGATGGAGGCCTCTGTCCAGCCACACTGTAGCAGGTAGCCAGTGACATCCTCTGCGCTCCAGTACCTGCTCACGTTGCTGATCCGCCAGGTCGGAATGCGGGTCGTGCTGGGCTCAAGGGCCCTCAGCCCCAGGAAGGACCCTTCCCCTTTCCGCCTGGCCAGGCCCTTGGCCGTAGCCTCAGCTTCCTCCTGCTCCAGAGCCCGAGCGTAGTAGTTCAGCTCCGACTCCCCGCGCAGGCGCGTGATCCAGCGCACGGGCTGATCAGCCTCCGTCCGCTCCCGCCGCAGCTGCTCCCAGAAGGTGCCCTTGCGGCCCGTCAGCTTGTCGATGACCAGCTTCGTCTCGCCTTGGAACTTCAGGTAGCCAATGATCTTGATCACCATCCCCTTGTCGTTCAAGATTTCCGTGAAGTTCTCCACGGCAACCAAGCGCTTCTTCATGTCGTCCTCCAGGCCCTCGCAGACCCATGCTTTCGGCTTTGCCCGTGCCTGTCCCCACTGGGGGGTGTCCAGGAGGTCCCTGTGGATGCACACCCGCACGCTGGACAGGGCGTCCGTCGAGACCGTCTTGGCTGGGCCAGTCTGTGACTTTGCGGCCGCGGTACGAGCCGCGGGCGAGCCATCTGCCTTCAACACCTTCAGGTCTCGCAGACCCGGCTTGCCATTGATCAGCACGCTGACCTTCTGCCACTGGGTGTCGTCGTCAGCCCCGTCCTTAGACCGGACGGAATCCTTCAGGATCAGGGTGAGGTCGCACTCTCTGAGACCGTGCGCCTCCACGAGCCCCGTGACCGTCTCCGCTTCCGTCTCCGCGAGGACCACGACCTGGCCGTCAGGCGCGGTACCCTTCTCCAGGGCCTCCCGAACCTGGGGAAAAGTCAGGAACTTCGCCAGCTTCTCTCCATGCTTCCACTTCGTAGTGTCCACCCGCCATGGTGGTGCGGCAGCCTGCGTAGCCGCAGGGCGAGGCTCCGCCCCAGCAGGCTCCTGGGTGGACGCCGGCTGTGGCTTGGCAGCGGCCTTGGCCTTGGCCGATGGCTTGGCCTTGGCGCGGGCGTTGGGCTTGGCGGCGGCCGCAGCCCTCTTCTGTGCTTTCCTCGATGGGCCACTGGCCTCAGTGACCAGCGTCTTGATGAGGGCCTCCAGGTTCCTGAAGGCAAGCGTGATGGCCTCGAGCTTCCCGTTCTCGGCCTTCTTCCTTGCCTTGGTACGCTTCCCCCCAGCAGCTGCCTCACCCTTCCGCCTGGAGACCCACGCGCCCCCGCGGGGCACGTCCAGAAGGGTCTGGCCGGGCAGCGTCGGCGTCTGCTCCTCCTCATTCGCGGTGCCGCGAGGCGTCTGCTCCTCCTGCTGCTTCCTCTGCCTCCTCTGCCTCCTCTGCCTTCTCTGGACCTTCCTCTGCTTCCAGGCCTCCGCTGGCTCCTCTGGATGGTCCCTCTGCCTCTGAATCGCCCTCTGCCTCTGGATGTTCTGCTGCTTCCTCTGGATCTCCTCCTGGTGCGCCACGTCCGGAGGGCCAGAATCTCCAGTAGCCAGTTGAGGCACTTCGCGATCCCCTGCGTCATGATGTACGGGTCCCTGCCCAGCACCACCATCAACCAGCGGGGCAGCAGGGTCGGTCTGGCACGCGTCAGGTTTACACGGCGAACACCGCTTCGAGCTCAGGATCCTCTGCCTGAACCTTCCGCGGCGCACCGCCAACGCAGCCAACAGGTATTTGTAGGTGCCGTCGTGCTTGGCGATCTTCAAGACCCGGTAGACACGCATACAGCGACGGCGCACTTTCTTCTCAAGGATGCGGTCGTAGAAGCCGGTGAGGTTAGACCCGTCCTCCTCCGGCTGCCCTGCGTCGACGCCCCTGTCGAAGATTATGCATGCAAGCTCAATTACACACACCAGCACGATGACCCCCATCGGACAGGAAAGGCCCCGTTCGCTCAAGCAATGTCTTTGGGTTCTACGTCTGCAAAAACTTCACCGCTAATCGAATATAAATCGTGGCAGGATGTCGCGACGGCCTCCTATGTGTGCGCCTCGACTATGAACGGGCACACCTTCGGGTCGCCAGTCAGCCTCCAACAACCAGTAGTCCTGCTTCCCGCGTGTCCCCCTCCTCCTCCTCGTCCTGGTCACTCTCCTCATCAGCCCACACCCCTCGATCTCATTCCTCGTCCCTCGTGCCACCCCCTCCCGGGGAGTGGGGACAAAGGCAGGCCAGGCGCACCCGCACCGTTCGGACATCCTACCATCCGCACCCATCCATTCCCATGACGTTGAATTTTCTCGATGTGCCGACGGGTGCCACAGCGGACCGGGGTCCTGCAAATGACCCCGTTCGTGTGATGCAGGAAGGACCTGTCATTTGAAGAGAGTGTGGCGGACGAGCAGAAGGATAAGCAAGAGGGAGAGGCGGAGGAGGAGGGGAAACAGGCGAAGAAGGCGGGAGGAGCAGCAGCACATCAGGAGCAGGAGGAGCGGGAGAGAAGGGGGGGCAACAACGCGAGCAGAAGCAGGTAGAGGAGGGGAGCGGATGGAGATCGGCAGCGACGAGGAAGAATGTGGATCCAGAAGCGTGGCCCAGGCCGTTCTGAGCGGCGGTTGCAAGCGCTGCGGGGCGAGGCACGAGGGGGAGGAAGAGAGAGAGACCAGGATGGACCAAGGCCTGCGACGACTCGATCCCCGCGTGTCGCAGGCCCTCCCGTCCTCCTGGAGAGGGGAGGAGGAGAGGAGGCCCCGCCCCAGTGGGGGGTCCACCTCACTCCTGCGCTCCTCTTTACACTCCAGCTGCATAATTCCATTCCCCCCCCAGCAGCAACGGACGCAAGGGGGGGGGATAATGCAGCGCCCCTTATCGCGGTACTCGCGCCATCAGCGTACAGCGTACAGGGGTGGACTGTTGCAAGACTAGTGCGGGCCGCCGTAGGCGGCGACCAACACCATCACAGAGGTCTAACGTCATACACCAGGCATCCACTGCCCAAGCACAAAATGTCCCCACTCGCACCGGACGTCTCCTGAAGCGCCCCCCCCAGATCTTGGAGGCCCCGCCGGCTGGCACGCGGTCGAGGTCGGGACGAATGCGGGCGGTGAGGACGAGGGCCCCGTGCATCGCAGAGGACGACGCGCCGAAGGGGACGAGCTCTGGGCAGGGTGCCGCCAGGCCTCAGGGCCGGCTGCATCGGTCAGGGCCCGCGTCCACGACTCACTGGCGACGCCCCGAGCCCGCGCCTGAGCCCGAGCCCCACCGCGGGCCCGCGCTCGAATCCGAGTGCCCCGCGGGCGCCCGCACGAGGAGGAGGGGGAGGAGGAGGAGGAGGATGAGGAGGAGGAGGAGGAGGAGGAGGAGGGGGAGGAGGAGGAGGAGGAGGAGGAGGAGGAGGAGGAGGACGAGGAGGGTGACGCCCCCCCCCGCCCCCCGCGCAAAGGCGCGGGCCAACTCGAAGGCGTTGTCCATCGCGGACCACTTGTGGCCCTTCTTCTTCGGCGCCTCGGCGGGCCGTTCCTCCGCCACCGCCTCCGCCTCCGCCTCATTCTCCTTCTCCATTTCCTCCATGTCCTCCGCCTCCTCCACCTCGCGTTGCTGATGCTGCTGCTGCTGCTGCTGCTGCTGCTGCTGCTGCTGCTGCTGCTGCTGCTTCTCCTCCTCCGAACATGGTATACAAAAGGTCCATCAGCTGTGGTTAAGCCATGCCGCTTGGTATCATCTTCACAGGCAGCAGCTCTTGGAGCCCAGCTCAAAACAAGTACACCACAGTAGGGGGTCTTGGAACCCTCTCGGCAACACTCTTGGCAGTTGCACGGCACACAACAAACGCGCGGCTGCCAATGATCGCACATAAACAACTTAGGCGCGAACCCACCGATAATACATCTTAATGTTTGACCCCGGTCCAAATAAGAACCTAATCGGGTCCAAACGGGAACCCAACCGCTTGGAATCCGAGTGTATCCCAGAGGACCCCATAAGGAACCCGACGGGGTGCCATGGGTCACTATACTACTGGGATGCACGAGGAGTCCTCAATGAAACTACGCAATAGGAACCCAAGAAAAATCCATCTTATTGGATTCCAGGAAGGACACACCGAGTTACCCACAAGGACTCTCATGACAAAGAAACGTTGGATTCAAATTGGCTGCGAACCAGTATCCAACAAGGAAGGACCCGATTGGATGCCAACAAGATCAACATCGAAACCCGATGAAGACGAATTCAGATTCCGGTGGAGAGGAACGAAATGGCATTCCATCAGGATGGCCGTGGATCCTATTGGGAACCCAATTCGAGTCCAATTGAATGAGAGTTCGTTCAATTCTACTCGGACATCTACTATGAAGATGGCAAAACGTAGAAGCCCTCAAGGGTCCAAACCCCAGCAAAAAACGTTCACATACTTCATGCGGTTACCTCAAGGACTCGCATGGGCACTCTGAGCTCAAGAGTACCCGCTGCTCTTGACGTGAAATTGGGGTGGGTGCCTGGTATGGAGCCTTTCTGCCTGGCGTTGAACCTGCTCCTGGGGATTAAAACCCTCTGCCGTGGATTGAACCCTTCTGCCCGGGGGTGAACTCCTCGCGAGAAGGGGCTCCCAAGAGAACACCTGGAAAGGAAAGCTAGAGATCACGCAAGTGGAAAGTCACATGCCCGCCTTTCTGCACACTGCTGACTGGGAAAAGGCGACGGGTGGGGCAAGCAAGTCATGAACACACGCACACTGGCCATAGTGAGAAATCACAAATGCTCCTACCTTCCGCCCTCTGGGCCCTGCCCCCTGTTGGAGTCTCCGGCAGCATACGAAGAGCAGAGGGAGGAGGAGGAGGCAGAGAAAGTGGAGGAGGATGAGGCAAGAGCTGTAGGAGGAGAACGACGAGGAGGAGCACGATGGGGAGAAAAAAGGAAGAGGACGAGGAGAAGAAGGAGAGAGGATGAGGACGAGGAGCAGGACAAGGAGGAAGAGGGGGAGGATAATGACGAGGAGGACGAGAAGGAAGACAAGGACGAGTGCGAGGACGTTGGGGAATGAGGACGAGGAGGAAGACGAGGAAGGAGGATCGGATCATATCAGATCGGATCGGATCGTACTTCAACTTGGGCGTCGTGTGACGGTACCTCCACGTGTTAAATACACGAAGACACACACACATACACACACACTTTTGGCGTCGCGGCCTCGCGCGCGGAGACGGGGCGTAGAAAGTCGAGTGGAGGCAATGAAGCGCGTGTCTACGACCAGCCGAGCTCTCAAAGTCCGCATAGGGTCCCACAGCCGGCAGCAGCCATAACCATCTGGGCATGGATGGTGGGGAGGGGCGTGTAGACGAAACTACGGTACGGGGGGAAGGTTACATAAGCCAACCGGCCAGGACTGAAGGCGGGGAGAACGAGTATGCCAGTGTGGACTGACAAGGGACTGCGTCAAAGAGCGACGGGGAGAGCAAACTGAGGGCGGCGGGACCGCAAATCGTCGCAGGCCGAAGGAGCCGAGAAAGCACACACTACCATACACAGGCACGCACGCGCGCACACACACACACACCCCTCGATGAAAAGAGGTGAGGAGGGAGGAGGAGGAGGAGGAGGAGGAGGAAGAAAGAGGACGAAGGATGGATGAGGCCGAGGATGAGGATCAGGAGCAGTGAGGAGCAGGCAGAAGAGGAGGAGCAGGGGGCGACAACGACGACGACGACGATGACGACAACGACTTGGTTTGGAAACGGCGGAGGCAGGATGAGGGTGGGGAAAGGAGGGGGCACCGACAACGACGAGGGCAAAGAGGGGAGGAGGCAGGGGAGGAGGGCGGAGGGGAGGGAAGAGGGGGGGGTGGAGGGGGGAGGAGGACGACGACGAGGGCGCACGGACGCCTTCTCCTGGAGCTGCTCCGGCTTCGCGGGGATCGACCTCGACCGCACCGCGGCGCCCGCCCCGGCCGCAGCGGTGGCCGCTGCTTGGCGGCTCCTGCGGAGGGACAAGGAAAGGGGCCTCGTCGATCGTCCGGACTCTTCCTCCGCCCGCCTGCCCCTCCCTCCTCGCTCCTCCGCCCTCCCCGTGCCTCCTCCATCCTGCTCCGTTGTCCTCGTCCTCGTCCTCGTCCTCCTCCTCCTGCTCCTCCTTCTCCACCTCCTCCTCCTCCTCCTCTTCCTGCTCCTCATCCTCCTGCTCTTCCTCGTCGTCCGCATCCTCCATGTGCTAATCCCCCGTCTTTGTCCTTCTCCAGTCCCCTCGTCACCCTCCCTCCTCTCCCTTGTTCTTTTCCCCGGCTCCCCCTCCTTCTCGACCTTTTGCTTTCCTCCTTCTCCTCCTCCTCCTCCTCCTCCTCCTCCTCCTCCTCCTCCCACTCCTCCTCTACCTCGACCTCTTCGTTATCCTCCTCCGCGCCATCCCTCCGCACACTCCTCCTCCCTCCTTCTGCTCTGCGCCCGTCCTCGTCCCTCATCGCAGTTCATGAATCCTCCTCGTGTTCCTTGTCCTCCTCCCTTCCTCGTCCTCCTCCCTGTTTCCGAACCTTCTGGAATTCCTCCTCCTCCTCCTCGTTATCTTGAAACGCGTGACGAGCCTGTATGTGCAGCGTGCAACCAGTCGAGGGGTGCCACAGCGCGCACAGGAAACAGAACACACGCAAATAACATGGACGAGCCGCTCACTACATCACTTCCAGGTCGAAGGTGGTGAGAAGGCGGAAAAGCTTGGGCCGGGATTGGCATGGAACCGCCCGCCCTCCTTCCACCACAAAAGAACGGTCAGCAGTACCACGTGCCGCCCCCTCGGCTGCCACCGCGATGCCCCGCGCGACGCCGCAGGTGGCGCCGGAGCGTTCGGCGGAACCCCCACGTCGGGCGCCCGGTTCCGCGGGGCCGCCTGCGCGCCCGGACGGCATCTAAGGAGGACGGCACCTGCAGGCACTGCGAGCGCACCCTGGCTGGAAACCCTGCCACGATCTACGCCGACCTTCCTGACTTCGCGCGCCTGCGCACGCTGGCGAGGGCCTTGCACCGCATTCGCTTCACCGCATCGCTCTGCGACCGTCGGCGAAAGTCTCGGTCGCGAGAGGCCGCGCCGTGACAGAGCCGGCGCTCGCAGGCCCACGCGCCCGGATGCCGAGGCTGGTCTCTGCGCGCCTGGAACCTCCAGAGCACATGGCGCCTTGTGACCGAACTGCTCCCAGCCCTTCTCCCACCAATTGGTGTTCACCCCGATGGACGGGGCGAGCATGCGGCACTCCTCCGAAGCCCAGCAGGACTCGCCAACCCTCGCGGGGGCGCCTCTGCCGAAAGGGCACGCGTGGTAGCGACACCGATGCCCCAGGAGCGACGGCGCGACAACGGTCTCGGGCCAGGTACTCGTCGCACCCATCGGCCTCAGACAGCAGAGGTACGCGATGCACACTCTGAGAGCGCCCATCAGGCAGTTTTCATGGCAATCCCGCAGACCAAGGGCCGTGTCTGACCGAGGCATCCTCGAGAAGGGAGCTGCCCGTCCGCACCCCTCGCACGCTCTCTGCGCCCTCGCCCACGCACGCCTCCGTCTTCGGCGGCGACGTGGGCAGGCTGGTCTCCACGCCGTCCTCGGGCGGGCGCCCCGCGCAGTCGCGGCGGTCGACGTGCAGCGCCGGCGCCTCGAGGAGGAGGATGTTGCCTGGATGTTGCCTGCCTGATCTGCTCCGCAATGAGCACGGGCGCGGAGCCGACGAAGATCGAGACCCCCTCTCGCCCGAGGTCGAGGAGGAGGAGGATCGCCCCGCCCTCGATCTGCAGCGCGGCTCGCAGCGCGCCTTGCCTGGCCCGCCGGCTCGGGAAGGAGAGGGGCGCCCCCCGACTCGGGCGCCCCCCCTGGGCGGAGAGGCCCGCGCGCCGAGGCCCTCGGCGGGCCCTCCGCCGCCGCGGCGCCTCGCCTCGGCGCGGGGCCCGTCGCTGCCAGCCCCGCGCCATCGGCCCCGCCGCTGGCCTCGGGGGCGCCCCAGGGGGGGGAGGGGGGGGCAAGACAGGGGGGGGGGGGGGGGGGGGGGGGGGGGCAAGACAGGGGGGGGGGGGGGGCAAGACAGGGGGTGGCGCAGATCGGGGCTCCGAGGCGCGTGCGGGGCCCGGGGAGGGGGGGGGGGGGGCCGGGGACGTGCTGAAGAGGAGAGGGAGCCGTGGGGCTTTTGGAAACGACTGCGCCATGGCCCCGGCCAGGAACATCTCACGCGGCCTCGCCTGCGAGGCGTCGCGATCGAGACCGTGCCCGAACTTCTGACCCGGCGTGACCGCAGCCCGCGCCCGAAGAATTCTGACCGCGCCCAGGTGCGACCGAAATGTTTGGCTCGAAGCCAAAGCGATCTTCAACTTCGGTCACACTTGTGGCAACGCGACGCTGTCGGCCAGAACTTCGGGCACGTCTTCGGCTACCGAGTTTATCCGGTCACCTACCATTTCTCCTGATAGGGGCGGGGCGCCACGAGGTATCCACGACACCCCGTCTCCCGGCCTTATGACAAGCTTTCTGAGCCTCCTCCGAAGACGCGCAACAAAAAACCTCTCGGAAGGCCGCAGGGTTTCTGAGAAGCCCCGCCGCCCTCTGAGATGGCCCTCTCCTTCTCACTCCCCCCCCCACTCGCCGCCGATCCCAGTCACCATCCCCTCTCTTGGCCGCCCCCGGCGAGCCCTTCCCGAGAGCAGCAACGGAACTTCATGAACACATTCTTGTGGAGGTCCGCGCGGATTTCTTGGATCTGACCTGGACCGCTTGGGGCGGTGCCGGAGGCGCCGACAGGGGGCTCCAGCGCAGATCCCAGAAATTCCGCACGGAGCTCCAAAAAATTCTGATTATACCGTTGCTCGCTCTTCGATTCCCGGCCAATGCGGGCCGCGCCCAGGCTGAGTCGCGGGGATCTTCGGACCCGGGTCCATCCAGACCCGGGCCAGTCAGGCGTGGCATGATCCTGCAGGATCCTGCAGGATCCTGCAAAGAAGACCCGGCGGTCTGGCTTCCCAGACCCCGACGACATGACTTTTTCATATCATCAACCCTCAGAAGTCTCGACCCATTCCCTGGGACCGGTTTCTCATCCTGAGCCGTTGTTTGATGGTCCCGAGGCCGGGTAAGGGCCCCTGGAAGCCGACGGCAGGGAAATACCTCCCGACGGGATCTCTTCACAGCGCGAGGGGGTCTGGCTTGAGCCCCGCCTGAGTTTGGAGCCGAGGGCGCCCGGGGGGGCGGGCTGCGCAGCGCGGGGAGAGCGCCCGCAGTGCCGCGCCCGCAGCAGAGCCTTACCTGCCGCAGGGGGGGTGGGGGGGGGGCGCCTCGCCCATGGGGCGGGCACCTCCCCGCGCGCGTGGCGCCCGTCGGAGGTCCCGGAGGCGCCGCCCGAGGGGCCAGAGGGACAGGCCCGACTTAATGCGTCTTGGGTTTGCAGTGGCCAAACTCGCCTCCTCCTCCTCCTCCTCCGCCTCCTCCTCCTCCTCCTCCGCCTCGTCCATCTTTTTGTCCATGCTCTTCCCGCAACATTCCGTCTCCTTATAACTAACTTGTCCCTGTCCCCCCCGAGGCCAGTTAGCTTTTGGAGCGGGCAGGGCGTTTCGCCTGAGACTTCCTCACCATGTATGACCCTGAAGTTTAAACATTGGCAGCAGCTTCGCAGATGGAGGGAGGGATACTTTCAAAATGTGGCTCTCGCCTTAGCGCCGCGCACACGCATTTCAAAACATTCGCAAGAGCGTCACGGACTGAGGCGGGTCGTTTTCAAAATGTGGCTCTCGCCTCAACGCCGCGCACGTCCGTTTTCATCAATTGCAAGAGTTTCACGGATCGAGGGCGGTTCCTTCTGAAAATGTGGCTCTCGCCTAGGCGCTGCGCACATTCGTATTACAAGTTCGCACAAATGTGTCACGGAGAGGGCGGTTCCTTTTTTAAAAAAATGTGGCTCTCGCCTGAGCGCCGCGCACATTCGTTTAAACAAATTGCATGGGTTTCATCACAACTGCAACAGTGCAACATAAACGTTGATCCGCGGTATTGAAGTCCCAGGAATGGCGTTCTGGCACGGCTCGATCTCGTGACGACGCAACAATGAGGTTGATCCGTGGCATGGGAATCCCGAGAATCATGTTTTGGCATGCTTCCAGGTCTGCAAGCGGTTGTCTTCCAACCAGGCAGTTTCCTGAGTGGACATGCACCCTTGTGTGGACCTATGAAGAGGGAGCTCGGACGGAGGGTTGACTCCAACATCGTTGATGACACTTGGGTTTACACTGGTCGTCCTCCTCCTCCTCCTCCTCCTCCTCCTCCTATCTCCCTCTCCTCCTATCTCCTCCTCCTCCTCTCCTCCTCCCTCTCCTCCTCCCTCCCCTCCTCCCTCTCCTCCTCCTCCTGCTGCTGCTCCTCCTCCTCCTCCGCCTCCTCCTCCCCCTCCTCCTCCTCCTCCTCCTCCTCCTCTTCCTCCTCCTCCTCCTCCTTCTCCTCCTCCTCCCTCTCATACTCCCTCTCCTCCGCCCTGTCATCCTCCACCCTCTCCTCCTCCTCCTCCTCCTCCTCCTCCTCCTCCTCCTCCTCCTCCTCTCCTCCTCCTCCTCCTCCTCCTCCTCCTCCTCCTGCTCCTCCACCTCCAACCTCCTTCTCCTCCTCCTCCTCCTCCTCCTCTCCCTCCTCCTCCTCCTCCTCCTCCTCCTCCTCCTCCTCCTCCTCCACCTCCACCTCCTCCTCCTCCTCCTCCCTCCTCCTCCCTCCTCCTCATCCTCCTCCTCCTCCTCCTCCTCTCTCTCTCTTTCTCTGTCCTCTCCTCTCTCTCTCTTCCCCTCCTCCTCCTCCTCCCTCCTCCTCCTCCTCTCTCCTCCTCCTTCTCGTCCTCGTCCTCCTCCTCCTCCTCCTCTTCCTCTCTCCTCCTCCTTTTTCCTCCTCCTCCCCCCCTTCCCCCCATCCTCCTCCTCCTCCTCCTCCTCCTCCTCCTCCTCCTCCTCCTCCTCCTCCTCCTCCTCTCCTCCTCC